TCTGTAACCCACAGGTCTGTGTCCTAACCATTAAGTTGTTATCAGAGTAAACCCCTGTTCAACTAAGGAAGCAGATAAATAACTTTAGCCTTTAGTCCAGGCTCTGATAGGCTGGGATCGTGCCTGTACCTGATAGCTACACCTTTTCTCCTGTCCCAGTTCCTCCGGACGGCTTCCTGCTGGGCTGTGTGTTTGCTATCGCCGACTACCCGGAACAAATGGCCGACAAGCAGCTGCTGGCCACCTGGAAGCGGGTAGGCCCTCCCTCCATCCCTCCCTCCATCCCTCCATCCATCCATCCATCCCTCCCATTGGTCAGAGCCCTAATGTGTGTCCCCATTAGGTCATCCAGGCGTGTGGGGGGGTGGTGGACCCCACTCTGAGTGGCCGCTCCACTCACCTGCTGTGTGAGAGTCAAGTCAGCAACATGTATGTTCAGGTGAGGAAGTCTGGGCCGGAGCGGTATGTATATATATATATATATGTATATACAACCTATCTAAAATAATATATGTATAATAATATGTGTATATACAACCGATCTAGAATAATATATGTATATATACAACCGATCCAAAATAATATATGTATAATAATATGTATATATACAGCAGATCTAAAATAATGTATGTATAATATGTGTATATACAGCAGATCTAAAATAATATATGTATAATAATATGTGTATATACAACAGATCTAAAATAATATATGTATGATAATATGTATATATACAACTGATCTAAAATAAGTGGTAATGATGGTGTGAGAAGAATAAATGAATATCAATAAATTAGTAAGAATTTACAGAATTTTAGAGAAGGTTGAACTCTGACAAAAGGCCAAAGGATCATTCCTTACAAACTGATATTTTTACCATGGAAACCTACTAAATGTCTCAAATGAACCTTCCTGGTGTCTATCACAGGCTCTCAGAGAGGGGAAACGCTGCGTGACCGCTCACTGGCTCAACACGGTGCTGAAGAGGAAGAGGATGGTCCCTCCTCACCGGACCCTCCACCTGCCCTTTGCCTTCCCCCCCGGGGCCAAACCCTGCTCCCAGCATGTAGGCCTTTTCTTTGATTTGATATTTAATCAGAATCAGAAATACTTTAATTATCCCAGAAGGAAATTATTTTATAGATTATTTATAAATATATATATATACAGCGGGGGAAATAAGTATTTGAGCCCTTGCTGATTTTGCAGGTTTGCCCACTTACAAAGAATGCTTATTTTTCCTCATCAGATGGTTATCAATTTTTATAAATTCATATGATGTGATTTTCTGGAATTTTCTTTGGGATTCTGTCTTTCACTGTTGGAATGTACATATGATTAAAGTTATAGATCGTTGCATTCTTTGTAAGTGGGCAAACCTGCAAAATCAGCAAGGGCTCAAATACTTATTTCCCCCACTATATATATATATACACAACAGATCTAAAATAAGTGATAATGATGGGGAGAGAAGAGAGAGAGAAGAAGAAGGTTGAGTATCTGAGAAAAGGCCATAAGGTCAGCACTTATAAACTGATATTTTTCAGATGGGAACTTACTAAATGTCTCAAAGTTAAACTTGTCCTTCTGGTTTGTTTTACTTAAGACCAAAGTAAAATGGCTTACAAGAGAAGTTGATATTTAGGAAGTAACCAAGAAGGTTGAGTATCTGAGAAAAGGCCAAAAGCTCCACTCTTATACACTGATATTCTTAACACACTAAAAGTCTCAAATTTAAACTTGTTCTAGTACAAATCCAGTCATTTTTGCTGGTATGGATGGCCTGCCTCTGGCTGCCTGTGTCCCTGTCTCAGATCATATTTGTCTCTTTTTTTCATTTGGGTTCTATGTTGTTTAAAGAAAATGGAGAATTTGTAGAAATCCTCAACCACATCTTAAATAGGGGTGCCAATAATTATGGAGGGCTCTGTACATGTCTATACATACATACATATATATATATATATATATATATATATATATATA